GCTTGTCCTCAGCTCAGTGAGGGGACAGGGCATCCTCAACCAGCCCTGATTCTGGTAGCACAATTGGTGAGGTGGCCAAGGTGGGTAGGCCCCTCACAAAGTGAACCTACCATGGAAGCTCACCACCAATCCTTCCCACACCCATCACTTCCAGGGACTAACCATGCATACCCTCCTCCTGGATATTGCTGAAGCCAATGTTATTACTCCCATTTCACAGAAAGAGCAATGGAGGAATGTATCACCCATTCGACCTTGGAGAAGTCCCTTTCCTCCTCTGGGCCTCAGCTTCTCCATATATACAACAAAGTTGGCCAAGGTTTCTGGAAGGTTCTGGACCATTGCTACCATCAGGAACCCATCCCTGATTTTCCTCTCTGAACACTAGTTCCTGCTGCTTCTCAGACTCTGCCTTCCACTACAGGGAGAGGTCCACTGAGTGCTTAGGAAACCAGAACCTAGGAACTGCAAGAGGCTGCCGAACTTATTTCCTGGGCTTTTTTGTTTTCTTCTCCAAACACCAATCAGTAATGTCTTTAAATGTCAACCAGAGTTGTTGGTTTCTTGTTGAATCAAAAAAAAAAAAAATTAAATCTTGATGACTAATTTGTTGAAACTATTCTCCCAAACTTTTTTATTAAATCAGACATTTAAACTGATAGAAAACTTTGAATATGCATTTAAATTCTTTCCTCCTTGTTTAACTATGTAATTGTTTTCACTCACAGTCATCTTCTCGAAGAGGCGTATGCTTGACTTATTTAATAAATCTTTCTCCACATTTGAAATCATTCATTAGCCATAGGAGCTTGAAACTCCATTATCCACAATAAATTCCACTGCATTAAACCACCACATGTGTGTTGAAGAAAGGCAACAACAGGATGGCTTCTCTGAGTCAGGGTAGGGTCAGAGCTCTGCCCGGAAGCCTGCTTCAATACTTCCTCTCAGTTCCTTTTTCTAGCCCTGGATTCTTCTGGAATCAAGGCATTCACCCATCCCACCATAAGGGGCTACCCGAGAGAGTCTAAGTCTCCAAAGCTGATCTCTTTCCTGTTCCAGTGGGGTTGGGGCTGGGGTCCAGGCAGTAGCAGCCTATGGCTAGTACCCACCTTTGAGCCAAAGCATAGAGCAGAGAAAATTGAGCAGCAGTGGCAAACTGCTAACACAAAGCCTCAGTGGCCCTGCTGGCCTTGACCCTGAGAGCCAGTCCGCTGTCACATCATGTACGTGGCACAGCTGATAAAGAAAGCTCAATGTGTTTACCACTTTTCTGCACTGCTGCCAGCTGGCTGCATTCTCAGGGGACACTGAAGCTTAGCTTGCAAGCTGGTGACGTCTCTGCTTACCACCAACGGGCGGCTCTGGCATGGGGAAAAAAAAAAGAATAAAATCATTGCCTGGAAGGACCTCAGAGTCAGAGCTGAAAGAGACCTCAGACGCCATAGATTCCAGGAGTTCTCAAGCTTAGATGTGTCAGCAGCATTCCCAGAGCTTTTTAAATGCACTCATGCTCCACCACACACTGGGAAATTCTAACTCAGAAGGTCTGAGTGGGTCTGAGCATCTGAATCCTTCAGGAGCCCCCAGGTCAAGGTCATGCTGTTGCCTCCAGAAGCCTGAAAACCAATGATCTGGTTCCAGCTTCTCAACACCAGCTGTGCAAGATCCCTCTACTTATGATCAGGTTATGTCCAGATGAATCAATTGCAGTTTGAAAATACTGTAAATCAAAAAGGCATTTAGTACAAGTAGGATGCCAAACATCCTAGCTAAGCAACACAGTGCACTATAGGATATTGGTGGCTTCCCCCTTGTGATCGTGGGGTTGACTGGGAGTTCATTGAAGGTGCCAGCATCTTAAGAGAGCATTATACCATATATCATTAGCCTGGAAAAAGGTCAAAATTCAAAATTCTGAATGCATATTGCTTTGGGGCCATCATAAAGTCAAAACTATCATAAGTTGAACCATCATAAACTGGGGATCTTCTATAATGATGTGGGGCATTTTAAAAGTATCAATACCTGGGCCTCATCACTTATTAATTAAATCTGAATTTTGGGCTGTAGGTCCTAGGCATCATAATTATTTAAAAGTTCCCTAGACTAATGGTCAGGCAGAATTGAAAATGACTGATCTGGGCATTTTACAGATGGAAAATGGCCCAGAGAGGGGTTAGAACTTTCCCCAAGTCATGCAGCAAATGAGAGAAAGTACTGATTAGAACCCAGGTCTCTCTCAGTCTGTCAGCTGTATGCTCAGAGATATATATGGCTAAGAAAGACATTCAGCTCTGGGTGGTCAGTGTCACCCAAGGAAGAGCACCATGTCCTGGAAATACCCATCACCCTATAGTAGCTCAAGCACCTAAGTGACCCCAGTACTATTGATCTGGAAGCCACATTTTAATTAGCAAGAGGACAGCTTCCTTTTATTTCACCTCCTTCTTTTTGAACCCCAGTGTCCATCCATCAGGGGACAACTTACATTTTCCAGTCTCTGCACAGAGTGAGGTCATGGAAATTAGCATCATAAGCAAGGGATCCTAAGGGTTGTAAATGAATGACAGGTAGGTTAAGCCTGTCTTCTGCCCAGACTGTAAGTGTTTTGAGGGTAGTCCAGAGTCTCCTTCTCTTGTATCTCCAGTTTGGGGCTACAGACAGACAAGATGTGAAGTGTGCTCAAGACTATACTTGGTCCTGGACAAGTCATTTCCTTGCAGGAATCTCATCTGAAAATGGAAATGATGAGATGCTCACCTTCCAGATGCCACTCGGGTTAAGTGTGACTTTGGAAGGAAAAGCCCCAATCCAGAAGAGAAGTGTAACACATAGTTTACTATCTCAATTTCCATAGAGATGATTCAGCAGGATGCATTGGACTCTCACTATCTGGGTTCCAGTTCAAGCTGCATCATTTTGTAGATCTTTGGCAAGATACTTAACTTTTTGGCATTTTTTACCCTCTTCTGCACAGTAACTATATGTACCACAAATGGTTGCTGTGAAGGTTCAAATGGAAAACACATTCAAAGTTGTTAGCACTGTGCTGGGCACACGGTAAGCCACCCATAAGCATTAGCTCTTATTATTGTTGCTGTTATTATTATTGGTTCTGCTGATGTCTGGCCTCCTTTGCAGTTAGCACTGTAAATATTAGGAGTCCTGTTCCCAGTGCTGGGAGGGCCTTGCACTGAACTCTCCACATTAGGAACCAGGTGTGTGCTTGTTTGGGAGACAGTTGCAAAGTGTGGCTATGAGCTAAAGAGAGTGAGCTCCATTCTTATCACCCCTAACAGGTCCAAGTGCCCAGGGTACCTACAATGGTGTCCCTCAGAGAGCAGGAAAGCATCGCCTCTGTTGCCCCATGGAAATGATCCATGCCTCTAAAAGGACACTCGGAACATTCCAGTGCAATTATCATCTTACAGTGCAGGCAAGGCTCCAGAGGCCAGGGCCAGGCCTTTTTACCTGCATGTCCCTTTTGAATCCTGGGAAACAGTTGGCACTCAATAATCTTCACTGGATGGAAGGGTGAGTGAGCAAATGATTCATTCCAGAAATTTTTTTGTTGAATTTAATAATCCTCTGAATTTTATGATTTTTACTGGAATTGAGCCATGTGGGTCCTGGAGTGACAGTATACCGGCTCTTCACTAACAAAGAGCAAGGACCCACTCAATTTGGGACAGGCAGCCCTTTCCAGGATGAGGGCTCTTTGGGAAAGGAAGAGAGCCTGCAGGAGAAAGCTTTCTGTCTGCAAAACTCTCCAACTCCATGTAGGGACCCAGGAACTTTCTCTAGAACCCTTGAAAACAGGGTTTAGAAACCGAATGGGGACTCATAGGGGAAAGAAGTCAGTAGGAAGCCTTGGATTGACTCTTTCCAGAGAGAGTCCAGAATCAGGAGTCTCTGGACTCCAGAACATCTGGTTAGAGCTTAAAAGACAGAGTGAATGTTGCCATGTGGCTTTGTCAGTCCTTTATTGTCACATGCAATCTTAGATTTCCACTAAACTGCAGTTTAAGACTTCATCATAGCGGTATCCCTACTCCCACAGTGGTGTTGAGTTTCAGTTCATTTATTTCCCCAAAGTGGGCAACGGAAGTTCCCTCAGGACTGCTTTAGATGGTCTCCATGTCACGCAAATGGGGAAAGCAAACCATACACACCGCACATTGCCAGGAGTGTCTATGGGTAGGTATGCAATCACTTTTGGAGTGCTTTGGGAGCACACCATGTTGTAAATGAAGAGAAACTTGTGAGTTTTGAATGAACAGTTCGCTTATCTTGGTAAAAGAATTTTGTCTACCTCCATGTCTCCTTCAAAAGAACAGAAGGTCAGACAACTTAAAATAGACCCGTGAGTGCCAAAGGTCGGCAAGTAATCAAAATGTGCTAAACTTGGTCTTCTATTTCACTGTGCACTGAGCATGAGTAAAATAAATGGACTTAAGAAATGTTTAGATGGAAGTAGACATCTCTCTGACCCTAAGGGCCACTGGGGATTTGTGATAGAGAGAGGGACCCTTGAAATAGCTCCACCTCTGTGAAATTAGCTCCAGGCTCCTTAGTCATTTTTAGATCCCTATCTCCATCCCATGATACAAACGCTCTTCCTGGTCCATAATAATTCTCAGTATTTATTTGGTGACTGTCCATTGTGACAGAGAAGTGACTCATAATGGACAGATTGTCTGGAAGGATAAGGAGAAGCTTTCCTCAGGGCTGGAGAACTAGAGTCTGTGAGCCTATCAGCCCCACCTGTTCTTATATAGCCCACAAGCTAAGAATGGCTTTTACATCTTGAAATAGTTGGGAAAATTCAGGATGATAATAATTGTGTTTCATGACAGGTGAAAATCATATTAGATTGAGATCTCAGTGTCCATAAATAAAGCTTTATTGGAGCACAGTTACACTGTTCCTTTACATCTTCTCGATGACTCCTTTCACAAGAGACCGGATGGCTCAGTATAAAATCTTTATTATTAGACCTTTTAGAGTAAAAATTTGCCAACACCTGTCCTAAACCTTTAAAATATGTGAAAAGCTAGAAGAGTGTGAGGAAACTGCTTAATAATAAGAGTGACTTCAGCCTCGCTACCATAACAAATTACCTTAGACTGGGTGAGATAAACAATAGAATGTATATTCTCACAGTTCTGAAGTCCAAGATCAAGGTCCCAGCAGATCCAGAATCTGGTGAGGACTCACAGCCTGGTTTGCAGATGGCTGTCTTCTTGATATATCTTCACATAGCAGAGAGCAGAACAAAAGCAAGCTCTCGTGTCTCCTCTTATAAGAGCACTAACTCATGACCAGAGTTAAACCTCATTATCTCCCAAAAGCACTATCTCCAGACACTATCACACTGGAGATGAGTATGTTTACGTATGAATTTTAGGGCCACATATTCTGACCACAGCACAGAGTTATCCATAGATGATATATGTAGCCTCAAGAAGAGCATTTCCTCTCACCTGTTTCTAACAGATGTGTTCCAAAGTTCCAGTCATTAGGACAGGGAGTGGCAAATGACTTGAAAACCCTGCCCAGCCCTGAGATGAGTCCAGAGTTTATGACTCAGACACGCTGCATGTCAGAAGGCGCCAAGGTGACTCTGGTCCAGGGGTCTCTCACATTACACTCTCCTACTCCTCCAGTCCTGTAGGAAGCTTTCCTGGTTCCAAAAAGCTGGAAGAGCTCCTGGAGGTCATTCATCTCTCCACCTAGCTAGAGACACAGGGGTTGGAGATTAAAATCTTATTTGATAAACCCAAGTGATGGCAATTGCTGCCAAGAGAAAAGTTATTTCCTGATTCACCAAGTCTCAGAGCTTTGATCTGAGTCACTCTTCAAACATGAAGATGACATTGCAGTTGCAGATGATTTTCTGAGGACTTATCTCTATTATAACACCTTGACCTATTTCCTATTTGAAGCCTTGTGGCCTGATGTACCCCAAGTTCTGGCCTTCCATTTCAAATGTTTCTATTAGTTATCTTAATGGCAATACTTTCACTTTGGGATCAACATAGGTCTAATACTGAGTGAGGACAATCCATGTCCTGGGTATAGACATGGAGTTTGCTCTTTAAAACTATTCTATTAGTAAAGATCAACTGACATAAACAAAGAAGGTTTAGCCATAGAAGGAATCAAATGCAAAACTGAACACCTCCCTGGGGAGCACAGAGTAACCCCAGGGATTCAAAATAACTGGAGGACAGGCTGAAATAGTTAGCAGTCTTTCTGTCATCCCACAAGGTGTATGAGTCAGGTTTTACTATAACAATGCCATGTAACAAACAATCCCAACATCTTGGTGGATTAACAAAAAGCATACATTTCATACTGAAAGGTTAACTGCAGTTTAACTGGTTCTCTGCAAGACTTGATCTGAACTCCATAAACTAAACTGTACTCATGCTTTGGAATATTTCTGATCTGTGTCTTCACTCTGTGCTAGGCCATGTTATTCTCATAATGTAGACCAGAAACTCCAAGAAGACTGACAGAAATTCACCATGCCTCTTAAATTCTCAGATTGGAATTTGCACTATGTCACTTCTGCCCACATCTGATTGATCAAAACAATCCATATGATTGAGCTCAAAGTCAAAGAGATGGGGAACTATACCAGAGCCGTGGAGAAACCACAGAAGGCAAAGAAGGAGGGAAGAATTATAGACAGATGCTGGACTCCAACATAGGAAGTAACCTAAAATCCTTTTATTCCACAAGCTTTGCTGAAACTCTTTAAGCAAGTCAAGGCCCCTTTCCTGCCTCACATAGTAGAGCTCAGAGATTGCAAAGCAATCTTAGTCTGATGATGGAAGACAGAGGTTGGTACAGACCATTGTTCTATACACCACTTTTCCCATCTATCCCTGGAGATTGGGAGGTTTGGGGAGTTGGGTCCTGTATTCTCCAGAACTTAAGAGAGCAAAACAAAGAAGCTCACATGAACACATTTTCTCTGACAACCATGTTCTTGAAAGACTGTGCAGCTGGTAAGCTCTGGTTAATTTTCTTCCAGTTCACTGAGATGGTATTTTTCACCCCACCCCTTTAGCATATGATAGGTTATTTCTGAATAGGTAGGATAATGATTAACAACAACTACAAAAAAAAAGAGAGTGAGATCCTTTTTGTGTGTGCTTAACTCTTGACTATTTGCAAAATCATTTGCTCACATTATCTAACAACTAGCCTGTGGGGCAAGAAACCAAAGAGAAGATAGGCACTATGTTAAGAGTGCCAAAATGAAACCTCAGAAACGACAAGCAATGTGCTCAAGTACACCAGGTAGTTATGGAAGGCCTAGACCTGGAGTTAAGATTTCCTAACCCCTTCCTCAGTACTTCTTTCTTCTCCTGCCCTAGGAGGAAGAACAGTGGGAACACAGGGAGCAGGAAGCCATTGATTCTCTCCTGCCCAGTCCAGGAGGCTTCAGGGGAGAAGAGGGTGTCAAAAAATATCAGCATGGGAAGAACAGATGAATTCTAGATAGGGCAGAGGGGTGGGAAGGAAAGGGAGGGGGCAGGGGATTAGCAAGGATGGTGGAATATGATAGACATCATTAAACAAAGTACGTGTATGAAGACACGAATGTGGTGTCAAAATACTTTATATACAGAGGTATGAAAAATTGTGGTATATGTGTAATAAGAATTTTAATGCCTTCTGCTGTCATTTATTTTATTTTAAATCAATAAAAAAAACTATCGGAAGGAAGCTGGAAGGATGAGGGGAAAGTGCTTTCATGCCTTCACACAAAATGAGATCCTCTACATCCCTCACCTCTACCCCTGCTCACCCAGCCAATAGAGCCACGAGCTGCCTGCAGGACCCTCCCTGACCAACTCTCCATTTCCCATCTGACCCCCAAAGGTCTCTTTTCCATGCAACCCCAAGACCATCTGCTCAAAACCCTCCAATGGCTCCCCATGATGCTCAAAATAAATTTTAAAACCTTTGCCATGATCTACAAGTCCTTCTGGCTTAGTCCCGTGCTTCCTCTCCCGCCCTCATCTCTCACCTCCTCTCACTGTTCAGTCTCACTGTTCAGTCTCACTGTTCTCCAGACACTCCCACCTCCCCTCCACCCCTCCCTGTGGGTGTAGCAAGCATCCTTCCCTCTCAGGGTCTTTGCACCTTCATTTCATTCTGTCTGGAATGCCATTTCTCCACATAGACCTCTGGTTTGCTTTCTCACTATACTCAGTTCTCCGCCCAATTGTGCCCTCTTCAGAGGGGTCTGAATACCCTATCTAAAATTGCACATCCCATTGCTCTTGATGCTTCCACTTGGCTAGTCTTCACAGTATCGGTTTTTGATGATATATTCTACATGAAAATATTTTCTTGCTTATTTTCTGTCTCCCCATTGGAATGGGAGCTCCAGGAGGACAAGGACCTAGTTTACTGCATTATCTAACAGCTCCCTAAAGCACGAAGGGCATATGGCAAATATTCAGCAAATATTTGTTGAATGAATGGAATAGGTGAATGAATGAGCTCCAACTCTTTCTCCCTTCACCCACAACCTGTCTTGCCACCTTATCCAGGGTAGAGGCCAGACTTCCTCAGGACTGTCTATGGGCTCCATACAGCCTTCAGGAACAGCTGAGCTCCCCAAACATCAGTGATGACAACTCAACCCCATTTCAGCCTTCCCAGGGGCTGTGCTGGCACTGCTGTGTGATCAGCAGTCTGGGTCAGAGCTCAAGGAAGTCAAATAAGGGATCAGGGTGAGGCAGCACCTTGTATCTCAAAGCAGAGATTTGGGGACTGGTGATCTGAGTTTTCTTGAATCAGTTTCCTATTTGGCTTTAGTCCCTCTTACTAAGAGACCACATTAACTCTGAGGGTTCTTCTGAGCACAGGAAGGACATAGCCTCACTTTGTCCCAGACCCATCCCATCAAAAGCAAATGAATGGCCCATCTTGGTCACCACTGGCAGTAGGAAAAAGATCTCCACCCCCAAAGCCAGTCTTGGTTCCCTCTCCATTATGGTCTATTATGCAATTACTTAACAGAAGCTGAACCCCAGCATAGAATTTTAAACTCAAAAGGAAACACATGTCAAATGGTCCTTACCTCTATCCAGCTGTCAAGGTGTCTATCTCCAAGAAGAAGTAAAGTGCCCTTCCTATATTGTATAGAAACACCAATCACGTGACCTTGGCTGTCCATCAAAGGTTTCGCTTTTCAAAAGCTTCAGGATCCTCATCCACAAATGGAATACATCCCCGCAGGCCACTGGGAAGAAGCCAGAGATATGAGTGTGATTCTCCTGTCAGTCTCTAGCTCTCTGTGGGACAGGGTAAGTTAGCTCTTTCTACTTTTGTTTCCTCTGTCATAAAAATGAGAAAGCTAGATCATTACAAAGTTTCTGCTAGCTCCAAAATGTCCATAAAATGTCATCAGATTATTCAATGCATTGGGTAACCCTGCCAAAGATTTTATTTCTTATACAATGAAATATATAATTACATATATTGCATTTTGGTAAATACACGTGTGATAACACTCTTCAACATCATGTGACAATGTGTGTCCCATATAATAAAAGCAATCCCTTCTGAACACACATCGGATACTTAATTTGATTTGGAGATAAATACAGCGTAGAGGTGGCCATGGTTGGAGTGTTTTAGACATCAATTGTCTTGTAAAATGGGTTTGGAGGCCACTTATAGCAACCAGACTGATTAAAGAGGAGTGAGATGCCATCTCAACTGTTTTTCCTTTCCTGATGCCTACACTGGTCTAGATGTGAGAGCAGGACATGATTGACCTTGAAGGGGAGTAGTGACAAGTTCACCACCACAATTCCCCTTCCTGCCTAGACCAAGAACAGGCTTGGCTTGCCTTGGCAGCAGATCAGGAGCTGACAAAGGAAGAGCTTTACAGCATCAAATCTACAGCATCAAATATATGGGCAGGGGCTCAGTCTTTTGCTCCCTGCACAGAGCTAGTAGTCGATGAATATTCATGGAAGGGCGAGAGGGAGAAGGAAGGGGCAATAAGACATTCCTGAGATCCTAGAGGGGTCGAACTGGGGGAGGGGGCAAGATGACCTCTTACTAGAGACATTGCCAAGAGAAGTCGGGCATTCAGTGGGGACTAGGAATTTTTAAAATCCATGTTAACCCCGAGGGTCTAACTAAACCAGGAAAAATGAGCATAAAATGGAGAGCAGAGGGAAGTAAGACAGTTTCTCTTTCTCATTTTGGTCCAGAGACGGGAAGGAACATGGTGCTGGCTGGTCCACCTTCAGCTGGGTGTCTCTCTCCTCCAGAATAGGGACTTTAGGAGGCAGATTTACAACTGAGACTGAGCCATTGGTGAAACAACTCACAGGATGGGAGAAACATGGGGTACACTGTAGGCAGCATCACAGATGACCCAAGGTTTGGCCTCTACTGATTTCCTAGGGTTGCCATCATAGTATCCGTGTGACCTAAAACAACAGAAATTATCTTCACATAGTTCTGGAAGCTAGAAGTCCCAAATCAGGATGACAGCCAGGCCATGCTCCCTTTGAAAGATCCAGGGAAGAATCCTCACTTGCATCTTCCTGGTTTATGAGGATTGGGTTGTTAACAATCCTCAGCAGCTGTTGGTTTACAGCACATCTCTCCAACCTCGGCCTGTGTATCATTCCAGTCCTTGCTTCTTTCTGTCTTCATATGGCCTTCTCTAGGTATCTGTTTCTCTTCCCAAATTTCCATTTTCCTATAAAGATCATTAGGTGAACAGATAAAAAAAATGTGGCATATACACACAATGGAATATTACTCAGCAATAAAAGAGAATAAAATCATGGCATTTGCAGGTAAATGGATGGGGTTAGAGAAGATAATGCTAAGTGAAGTCAGCCAATCCCAAAAAACCAAATGCCAAATGTTTTCTTTGATATAAGGTGACTGATTCATAGTGGGATAGGGAGGGGGAGCATGGGAGGAATAGACCAACACTAGATAAGGCAGAAGGACGAGAAGCGAAGGGAAGGGGCATGGGGTTATTAATGATGGTGGAATGTGATGATCATTACTATCCAAAGTACATGTATGAAGACACGAATTGGTGTGACTATGTATACAGAGATATGAAAAATTGTGCTGTATATATGTTATAAGAATTATAATGCATTCTGCTGTCATATATAAATTTAAAAACTAAATTAAATTAAAAATTTTTAAAAAGGTACCAGTTATAAAATTAGGATTCACTGTGATCCATATGACCTCATCATAAGAAAACTAACTTCTCTGTGGAGACCCTGTTTACAAATAAGGTCATATTTTGAGGCTCTGGATGGACATGAAAAATTGGGGACCCTTGCTAAATCCAGTACACCCTCTAAGGATTCTAATGGAACATTCTCTGTGTGGAATCATGACTGGGTCTTATAGCCTAGGCTCCCCTCTGAAATATCTGCCCTCTGGGGGGCTCTCCCACCCTTTCTGCTGCTAATATGCTGACTCAGGAGGGTACTGCACTCCTTTAAAAATCTCTCTCAGCCGAGCATGGTGACACACACCTGTAGAATCCCAGTGGCTCAAGAGACTGAGGCAGGATGATCACAAGTTCAAAGCCAGCCTCAGCAACTTAGCAAGGCCCTAAGCAATTTAGTGAGACTATCTCACAATATTATTATAAAAAAGGGCTGGGGATGTGGCCCAGGGATTGAGTGCCCCTGGGTTCAATCCCTAGTACCAAAAAATAAAAATAAAAATATCTCCACTGTCCCCTCACATGCACACACACACACACACACACACACACACACACCAGAGTTACAGAGAGGCAATCTGATGTCTCTCTCAGATTCAGAGGGAAGGTCCCGACTTGCTCTTGCCCAGCTCCATAGAGCACCCACCCCATAAGACTCCTACCTCCCACAGTGACCGCAAGAATGTGAAGATGCCTAAAGTCATGGGAACCCAAGAAAAGAACCACTAAAGCTATCATCCCTGCTCCCCCCTCACTGGAGGCTCTAACCAGTCCCAAAGAGTGTCCTGGCCCTGGCCATCTCCACACAGGGGTGCAGTTTCATTCCTGTCTCCACAGACAATCTAGTTAACTTCCAGAGGGGTTCACCAGTCTCGTGTGTGTGTGTGTGTGTGTGTGTGTGTGTGTGTGTGTGGACTGCTTATGCCTGAGGGGTGGAAAGGGAGAGAGTGGACCTCTCCCTCCCTCCAGTAGCCAGTGGAATGCTGCTCTGCCAGTTCCATGTGATTAATCTGAATTGCCTCTTCACTGAGGGATGAACAGGCCTTAGAAAGCCAGCTAATGTAAGATAATGGTTCCAACAAAATGCAGCTTATGAAAGGGACCATAAAAGAAAGTGGGGTTAATGGTTAATGATTACATTGCTGAAAATCTAGAAAGCAGCTCCCAAGCCCAACACATTTCAACTAAGAAAATCTGCCAGGCCCCTCCTGTGTCCACACATCTCCCAACAACCCTAGGAGACAAACCAGCAGGCATCACTGTCCCCTCTGCACAGATCGGGGCACAGGTCCTTGGAGATCCTGATATGAACTAACAGGAAGCAGCTCCTTCAGTGGCATCCAAAGAGCCCTTTGTTTTACAGACAGGAAAAATGAGATCCAAAAGAAAAGGGGATGTATTGGAACAAGGTCACACAGCTGGGGAGGTGCCAAGTCAGAACTCAAACTCAGGTTTTTCTGGCTCAAAGTTCACGTCTCTTGACACACGAGGAGGTGGTTTTGTAGCTTCCCGGATTCCCATCATTATAGGATGCTGACTCTTACAAAGGGTCATCACAATTCTGGCCTAGCCTCCTTCCCATGACCTTCTCCTGGGCCACACAGAGAACTGTCACAACAAGATCTGTAGCTCTGTCGGTCTTCTCTTGCTTCACCCTTGATGGGCACTTCAGGCACTGAGACTTAGCAGGTCCATGAAGGAAGTATAGGGGACCCCATGACGAAAGCATTCCTCTTTGCTACATGACCAGGCTGTGTTCTCAAACTGGGTCAGAGTATTTGTTATTTTGCATCAACTCTGAATGCTGAATAGCGAGAAAAAGTGGGACACTTTGGAACTGGTCTTCCTCAGTGCCAACAAAGTGCCATTATTGTAACTTCATTTGTGTGGTACAAATGAGAAGGAGATAAATGTCGTGTTCCAGCCAGAGTCTATTAGTGGCTATCAACTGCGACACAGGAAGATGTGCAATCTGGCCGAGTTAGAAAAGGAGAAGAAGAGCTCGACACCCAAGATCTGAGACGTTGCACTCCTTCTGCCTGGGATTTCTGAATTGTAAAGCAAAATAAAAATGAATATAATGAATTATACACCTACAGCCAGTTTCCTATACTTTTTGTTTCCAAATTACTAAAAGTACTAATTCTGGCTGAGAAGTTTTGCATATATCTCTCAACCCCTACAGGCTTTCATTTTTTCATTTATAACCAACCAGCTTGCTACACCATTTGTGTGAAAACTAAATAAGAAAATGAATCAAAAATTATAATAATTCCACAAATGTTATCAATATGCATTACACATCATATACAGCTATGAACGATTAGGCACCTAAGCGATTTAAATGCATGTTATATGTGTATCATCCAAAGCATGATATACTTAACTCTTTCATTTTTTTATGTCACATGTCTGTATGATAATCCTGGGAGATATGATAGGAGACAAGGGAATATTTAAAAGTTTCTTGTTTTTTTTATGAATTTTCACAAGTATATGGCCTACTAAGTATATGTCCTATAGAGACATACTTGAGGAGTTTTTTCAGCAAATTCACTCAACCAACAGCAATCCACATCAGTAATTAGATTATCAACCCCTCAGAAATCTCCTAGTTCTCCCTCCTACTGATTACCACCCTCTCTTCCCCAAAAGCAATCACAACACTGACTTTTAATGTCAGATTGTGCTTGAACTTTCATTAGTGGAATCATATAGTATATACTCTTTGGGGTTTGGCTTCTTTCAGCATCCTATTGTCGAAATTCATCCATCCTGTTCAGTAGCTCACTTGTTTTTATTGTATAATATCTCTTTATATGAAAATTCCTTAATATATGTATTTGTTCTATCATTCATTGTCATGTGGGTTGTTTTCAGTTGGGGGCCTGATACAAATAATGCTGCTCAGAACATCCTTGTAAATATCTCTAAGGAAATGTTTATAGATTTTCATTGAATGGAGAAAAGAATGCCTGGTCATAGAGTAGGTTTATCAGGTGTTAGAAAACCACTCTCCAAAATGATTTCTACTCAAATTAAAAGTGAGAGTTCCCGTGGTTCTACATCCTCATCAGCACTTGATTTTGTTTTTTGTTTGTTTGATCTAAGCCATGTTGATGAGTGTGGAAATGTAACTAATAGTTTTCATTGCCCTTTCCTGATTAATGAAGCTGGGCACTTTGTTCTTGGCCATTTGGATATCCTCTTTTGTGATGTGCCTGTTCCAGTCTTTTGCACATTTTTTTATTATTGCTTATCTAATTTTTAAAATTTTTATATCTTTATGTATTCTGAACATACATGTTGTTATAAACATGATGTTATAAACATCTTCTTCTTCCTTTATGTGATTTGCCTTTTCACTCTCATAATTGTTTCCCTTTTTAAGAGATAGGAAAAGGGAAGGCAAACTGAGCAGAGTCTCCCAACAAGTTAACAGTACACGTGGGAAAAGCTGATCTGACTGAGATCCCAGGATACAGCTCTATGTTGTAATAATAATAATAATAATAATAAAAGATTTTCAGGTAAAATGGGAGAATTAGTGATCAAATTATATATGTATATATGATAGGGAGACAAGGGAATATTTAAAAGTATATATAAATATAATATATGAAATAAAAACAATAAAACTGTATCATACAAAGTAAAATGCATATATCAAGAAATGAGCCAGATATTGAACAACCATCTAAATTATTCAAGTCATATCTATCATTTCCTCAGTTATCTCTTTTTCTCAAAGTTGTAATGCATTTTAATTCATTTTGTCAATATTCTCTTTGAAATATATCAAGACTATAGAAAATGAAACAATAGCATAGTGAAGACATGGGTACCTTCCACCTACTAGAGATTCACATTTTACCACTTTTACTGTGTGTATGTGTGTCTTAAAATAAGAAGCAGACATCATGACACTTTATTTCATAATGTTTTAAGTGGATTTCTACTTCAAATGAGGGAATTTTCCTACATAGTGATACAACCATAATCTCATGTAAAGGGTTTAATATTGATAATACTATTTAACATTTAATCAATATTTAAATTTTCTCCATTTTCCTAACTATGCTTTTTATGAGCTGCTGGCTTCTCTTTTTTTTTTTTTCAAATCTAGGATACACTCAAGAGTCATTGAATTTAGTTGACACATTCATTTTCATCTTTTAAAATCTAGAATAGTAGCTTTGCTCTTAGGGGCAGGGAAATGGTCATAAATGACACTACTGAAGAATCCAAGTGTACTGTCCCATGGATTATGCCACTTTCTGGATTTGCCTAGTTGTTTCCTCATGATTATTAGATTCAGTTCAGATGATTTTGTAGACATACACCATACTTTTACTTGGGTTGTCAGTTTTTTTCCAAACACTGGTAATATATGGGACGGTTTTAGCTGTTAGTGTGGATAAGGATTTTTTTCATAAGAGATTTGTTTTTTATATAGCAGCTTTATTTAGATATAATTCACAACCATAAAATTCACCCATTTTAAATATGCAATTCAATGTTTTTTTAGTCTATTTGAAGTTGTGCAGCCATGATCACAATAATTTTAGAATGTTTTCATCATCCCTCAAAAGAAACCTTTGCTCATCCATCACCCTCTGCTCCCCGACCATTACCCCAACTTCCCTCCTCCCCATTGTATGCAACCACCTCCTCTTGCCCTTCCCACTCCCAGCCCTGGGCTTTATCTGTTATCTGCCTCTGTATTTTTACCAATGTGGGACATTTTATATAAGCAGGCCATCCCATAAGTAGTCAGACTTCTTTCACTTAGCATGTTTTCAAGGTTCATTCATGTTGTAGCATGTATCCATAACTTTATTTCCTTTTATTGTAGAATAATGCTGCATTGCATGGATAGGATATACTACATTTTATTTGCCCATTCTTCCATTTATGAACATTTGGGTTGTTTTTACATTTTGGTCATTATGAGTAATGTGGCCATGAACATTTCTGTACATTTTTTTTTTTTTTGGTGTACAAATGTATGATTTCAGTTTTCTTGATTAGAAACCCAGGAGTAGAACTGCTGGGTCATACAGTAATTCTGTTTTTAACTTTCTGAGGAAGTACCACAAAATACATTTTCCAAAGTGATTGAAACATTATACAATTCCATCAGCATTGTATGAAGACTCTGTTTTCTCCATATCCTCACCAACACCAGTTATTTTCTGTCTTTTAGATCATTGTCATCCAAGTTGGTGCAAAATGGTATTTCTTAATGTGGTAAAGTATGTGTCTCTCAGCCTAGAAGCCACAAAATCATCTTTAGTGGGGAAATTGTGACATTCTAATTAGAGACTAGAGCAAGATGACAATATCCACTCTTATTAAAAATTATACTGGAGGAACTAACAAATGTAAACAGACAAAAGACAGAAATTGACAGCAAAAATTTTTGAACAGTAGGAAGTAAAACTATTAGCATTTGCAGATGGTAAAACTATATATCTGGAAAAGTCAAGGGGATGGAAGAATTGTTGAGAACAGTAAGATAATTTAGTATGAATACAGGTTCAAAACTAATAAATACAGAAATCAATATTTTTACATATGCAAATAACATCCATCTAGAAAATTTAATGGGAGAAGCCACCCAGTACACAGATACACCAATATTCATACCAGGAATAAATAAAAAATACCTCTGTAAAGACTCTATTTCCAAATGAAACCACATTCTGAGGTACTGAGAGTCAAGACATATGAATTTGAGAGTGAGGATATAATTCATCCCATAACAGCCTGTTTTATGCAAATTCTTTTTTTTCTGTTTTGAGACAGAAAATTGCTAAGGCTAGCCTCAAACTAGCAATCCTCCTGCCTCAAGTTCCTGCATCACTGGGATTACAGAAGTGAGCCACCACACCTGACTTGTATCCTACAAATTCTGATTTAAAAAAAAAAAACAAAAAACTTTATTATTGTTGTTTCCTACAACAATCTTACATATGAGGTTTTATTTCTTCTCTGAAAGTTGTTTAGGAGACACTTAAATTTCCATATGAAAGGAGCTTTTGCTTTCTGTTCTGTTATCAATATCTAGTTTTAATATATTGCAGTTATATAATATCCACACTACATTTACTTTTTGGAATTTATTGAAGATATCTTTATGTGTTAATATGATCAGCATCTAAGAATGTTTTCACAGCATTTGAAAAAACAAAAGCTTAGTATTTTTTAGTCAGTTATGAGATTTAATCAGGTCTATCTCATTAATTGGTTAGATTATTCTATATTCTCACTTGCTTTTGTCCTCTTGGTCAGTTATATACTGAATGAAATGAATTAAATTCCGCTTCACTAGTGTGTATCTGCATATTTCTTGTAACTCCTGTTTTATAAATGCCTGAGCTAAGACAATAGTCTCTAGTCTTTTAGGTTATAGTTATTCTGATATTTGGGAGGGTTTGCATTTCTATACTAATGATTGTTTGTACAGGTGTAACATTATTTTAATACTCTTAACTCTCTATTTCCTAAGTTAGTTTGTTACTAGAAGAAATAATGGAAAAATGTTTTCTTTTTCTTTCCCCTGTTGTGTTTCTTAGTTCCCCTATTTAGCTCAGAAATAAGCCACCACTGATAATCAATAAACATTGATTGTTACTATTTTCTAAAAACAAAACACAATAAAACATACACACAGTATCAAGAAAAAAAGTCTCTGTCCTCCTTTTTCTCGATATCCCAAGTTGTTTGTCTAGAAGTGACCACCCTCTTCCTGGAAAATGTTCTTCCTGGACCAACTAAAGACAGGACTCCTAACACCCCTGAGAAAAAGAATGGCTGTGTCAATGCAGGAGACCTGGCACACACATGTCTCCCCCTCCCCCTCAGGTCCTGATTTCTCTATTGCCCCCAGCTTTGCATGTGGCATAAGACCAACAATAAGTGGGAGAAACTGAACTGTTATCTCTATTAACAACTGTACCACAGGCTTGTCTCACATGCAAAAGTTACAAGGTGCTGGGCCAACACATGTAAGAAAATAGAAGCGAATTTTAGAGACAACCTGAAAAGCTCTACGTGGCCTGTTGCACCTGCCAAACCTACTCTGTAGGCTTGACCAGAAGTGACCAGAAGTCTCAGTGAATGGTTTTGCTTATGCCTATTGAGCCAAAGTATTTGGGTCTGGATAACAAATGACAGAGTCCCTCCATCTATAGACCACATGTGTGAGATGTGATAATTAAGTCATGTCTAGTTAGCCCAGCAATAAGATGACCTTGGCCATCATTAACACAAACGGAAAGCACACATCTTGATCCTGCCATTGATTGGCTGCCTTTGCGGCCACTCCTCCATTTCCTCTCCCTTGAAACACAGACTTCAAGGGTATAAGTTCATTGATCTCAAAAGCTTCTTTTTTTGGTATGTCAGAATTGGATTTTCATGTAGCTTAATTGTTCTCCATTTCATGATCCAATTATTTAGGTCATGATCATTTTGAGGGTCAGAATCAAAATGGACGAAAAGTGCTTTCTAAGTTAAGTGATGATATACACATGACAAATACTACCACTATCAAACTTCTTAGTTAAAGGGCTCAGTCCCACAAGGATGTCTCTACTTCAGATACTAATCATAGGTCCCAGCCACCTGTACTTCTGATTACCGGTTATCAATCAGAGGTTCCCACAACCTTCTCCTAGGGTTCAATAATTTGCTAGAACATCTCACAGAACCCAGGAAGGCATTCTGCTTACATACCAGTTTATTACAGAGGACACAAATGAACAGCCAGATGAAGAGGGACATAAGGCCAGGTCTGGAAGGATGCTAAGTGTAGGAGCTTCTGTCCCCATGGGATTGGGGTACATCACCCACTCAGCATGTGGATGTGTGTGCCAATTCAGAAGCATTCAGGAGGATGGGCAGTATGGAAATTTCACTACATAGGTACAATTGACCAAATGGTTGGCAACTGGTGATTAATTCACTCCATCCCTTTTCCTCTCCTAGGAGGCTAGGGGTGAGGCTGAAGGCTTGTTCTTTCTGACAACCAGCCTGCATCCTGAAACTAGGGACCCATTAAGAGGTGAATGTTCCTATCACCCTTATCACCCAGGAAATTCCAAGGGTTTGGGGAACTCTGTACCAGGAACCAGGAACAAAGACAAGATATCTTATTTTTAGATCATAAGCTGCTAACAGCACCACTTTGGAGCCAGGAAGACCTGAGTTTGAATCCCAGCTCCACCACTTCCTTGTTTGGCCCTGGGCAAGCTACTGAGCATCAGGCTGCATATCTGCAAATAACTGAAAAAAACAAAACAAAACAAAAAAAACCACCAACAAAGAGTGGCTAAAGTGCTTAATAGGAAATCTGGATGTAAGAGTTCCAAGGTTGGTCCAGTGGCCTGACGTTGTCACTGAGGTCATACAGACTGCGTCTCTGCCTCTGATATCCAGGGTCATTGACTTTTCATCTTCATGTTGGTCATCCGTGATTGAAAACTTTGAGCATCACACCCACCATGGCCAAGCCAGGAAGGAGGAGACAGAGGAAGGCTAGCTTCTCCTCTTACACTGTTCCTTCTACTAGGAAACCATTGTCTTACCTGAGACTCTCTACACATATACCATTAATGTTCTCATTGTCCAGACTGGGTTCCGTGGCCACCCTTATTGCAAGGGAGGCCAGCCTTTATTGGGCAGCAAGAAAGGAGGGAGTTGAGAACAGCTAGGAAGGAGATGTGCCCATCTCACAGCTTGTTATAGGGACAAGTGATGTGATGTATAAAGGGCATTAGCGCATAAATACTCAGTAAATCACAGCTGCGATTATCAGTAGGACAAGTTTAAATATTTTCAGAGTCCTAACATATAATCCCTACCCTTCCAGTGTGAAAACTTAAATTCTCTGATGAAATTATAAAGATTTATACCCTCATTTCACCATAACTCATTTCACATACACATATGTCAGTGGGGATTGAAATGCAATTGTGTGCATGTGTGATATTAGGATATTAATATCCTAGTATTGGGGCTGGGATTGTGGCTCAGTGGTAGAGTGCTCGCCTAGCATGTGCAAGGCCCTGAGTTTGATTCTTAGCACCACATAAAAATAAACAAAATAAAGATATTGTATCCAATTACAACTAAAATATAAATATTAAAAAATATATCCTAGTATCGATACTGCTCCATCTGGACATGGAGCTACATATATACACATACATATGCATTAAGAATAAGGAGTAACAACCACAAAGAAGAATGAAATTATGGCATTTGCTGGTAAATAGATGGAACTGGAGACTATCATGCTAAGTGAAATAAGCCAATCTCAAAAAAACAAAGGCCAAATGTTCTCTCTGATACATGGATGCTGACACACAATAAAGGGAGGGGAGAGAAAAATAGAAGTTCATTGTATTAGGCAAAAGAAAAGAAAGAGAAGGGAGCAGGGATGGGAATAGGAAAGACAGTGGAATGAATCAGACATATCTTCCTCTGTGCATATATGAATACACAACCAGTGAAACTCCACATCATGTTCAACCACAAGAATGGGATCTTAATTAGAATAAGTCATACTCCATATATGTATAATATGTCAAAATACACTCCACTGTCATGTATATCTAAAAAGAACAAATTTTTCTTAAAAAAAGAATAAGGGGTAAAACCTGGGAATGATACATACGCTCTACTGCCTGCACATGAAGTTAGGTATTCAGCCGCTTCCCCTGTCCGGAAAACCTGAATCATTCTCTGCTCTCTTTCCCTAGTCAGTCAATAAGTCCTGTACGCTTTGGACTGCAGTCTGTCTTCTATTTGTTCTCCTTTCCAGTGCCCAAGCACAACCTTTATCACCTCTTGTCCAGACAATTGTAATAAACTCCTAAGTACTCTCCTGTCTCTGCTTGTCTGCCCCCTACCCAAGCCTCTTGTTAGAGTAATCTTGCTGAAGCAAAGCTCTGAACTGACTATTTTCTTTCTCAAAAACTTTTAATGGCTCCCCCATTGCCTTCAGAGTCTAAACTTAAATGTTATTTAAGGCATTCCCTACCTGCCCGACCTTTTGTGCCTTCTTTTTTCCTTATACGTTTATAATCCAGCTCACTTAGAAACTGTTCTTTGAAGAAATCTCTCCCCCTACCTCTCCTGCATCCACTTAGTTCACACTGATCCATCTCTGCTTTTCTAGATCCTACCTTCAGGGAGGGGAGTAATTTCTACTTTAGCTTACACTGAAAGTCTGTGTTATGAAAGATGACAGGGACCCCAGAATTTTATGAACCATAATTTACACAAAACTATCTGATTAATCAATAAAGCAATCAATAATTCCTTCTGATGTTTTCCTAGACCTGGGACATTTAAATGTGCTGACAACTTACAATTTAAAATTGAAATGCCCCATCAAATGAGCTGGGAGCCAGCAAGCTCAGCTTCTGGACTGGACATGGAAGGGCCCAGCTGGATCTCAGCTGGGTTCTTCCCTCCTCTTTATAGGGACAAGCTTTCACACAGCAGAGAGGTAATGTATTCTGTGCTGCTCCAAAGGGAAGGGGAGCCATTATAGTTGGTGCCAGATGCTGCACCGGGTATACCATTTTGTAGTCCAGTGAGCCCTCCCAGCAGCTCTGTGAGGTAGGCACTCTAATTGTCTTTATTTTCTAGCAGAAATGAGAGATCCAGAAATGAGGAAGCTGTGAAGGTCACAATGCTGGATTCCAAAACGAGTCTGCCTGACTCTGAAATGCCAACCTTTGCGCCTACCCAAGGTCACATAGCAGGTAAGTAACTGAATTGGACAGCTCTGTCACAAATGCTACAGAACACATCTGTGCAAGTGTCAAAAGGCTAGGCCTGGTGACCTCTGAGAGTCCCTCTTAGTAGAGAGATTCTGGGAGCACATGTTTGACAAGGGCAGTCATAAAAAGTTCCATCCCCACACTGACTATTGGAAGACTTCTCATCATTCAGATAGATCTGGAAATAAACTCATAAAGGGAAGCTCAGTCATCACTTCTTATCTGACTTGAATTTCAATATTTTTTTTCATTATCTAGCTCATTCCTATCTCTCAGCAATGACATCCTTTACGTTTTTCCTATCATGTTTGAATCAGAGGGTTGGGTGCATTGGATTGTTTCAATTATAAGTGCCTTGTCCTTAAAGCCAGATCACAAAATAACAGAAGCATGTGTAACAACTTTTCCTGTGTAATAAACCACCACATAACTTAATGGGTTAGAGATCAGTTTAAGTTTGACTGATCTAGACCAAACTCATCTAGATTGCACTGCAGGCCAGGGGTTAGATATGGGACCATTTTACGTTGTTCTCAATCTTCTGGAACTAGCATCCATTGCATGTCTTGCAAATGCACAAAAGGAAACCTAGTTACATAAGCCTCTGTTTGAATCATATTCCTAAATAGTCCAGTAACTTAAGTGGCCAATCCCAAAGTCAAGGAATGAAGTTCACTCTGCCCACTATAAGGTAAGGATGAAAATAATGGAAAATTGGGCCCAAAACTCAACCCATCACATCATTCAACCAAACATTTGGTTGGTTGAATAGTACCTATTTCCTACTCCATGTTGAGTTGTATTTCCATCACTAGCAACTTAAAACTGAAATCAACCATGCATTAGTCATACAGCTAGGCATCTGGTTTATCAACATACTTAAGTCATGTTCCAAGATTCTATAAGCTTAAGGTCAAGTGGAGCAGAAAAAGAAGAAAAGCTTGAATTTATTGAATATTACTATGTTCTAAACACTGTGTTAAGTAAACCCATGGGTACATATAATTGCATCAAGACCTCCCAACAACCCTATGAATAGAACTTCTGAAAATCCACCTTTTAACAGATCATAAAATTGAGGTCCAAAGGAGTTATTGTGAACACCCAAAGTAACTTGTGAAAAGCCACACATCTAGGAAGCCAAGGATCTAGGCTTCAAATTAGATATAACCCCAAACCCTGTGCCCAACTATAATGCAGAAAATAAGTGTCATACTATATGTACAGGCACAGTCCTATCAATCATGGGGAGGGAGTGGGGGGGACAGTTGAGTTTTCACAATGGAAGTAGCAAATAAGCTGGGTCTTGAAGCATGAATAGACACCCACCACGTGTTTGGGTTAGTGGAAAATGTATTTGCTATGGCTTGATGGGAGAAAAAGGGCACTGTCCAGAAGAAGCAGAGGCTTGGGTGCTTTGGACTGTAGAGAATGAGGCAGGAAATGAAATGGAAAGAGGAGGCTATGCAGGTGATGGAGGACAAGGGGGCTTAAGCTTTGCTTTCAGGAACTGGGGAGCCCTAAGCAAACGTTGTCTGACTGAACTTGAGTTCTAGCAAGAACAGTTTGGTACCAAAGTGGAGGAGATGGGCTTGAGCATGGAAGCCAAAGGACAAAATGCAAATTTTTATGTCTTCCACACAAGTAGCTACTACCAACCTAAGAAGCAGCCCAGGTGGGCCCACAGTAACTGGATACAGCATGCTGAGATCCAAGTGCTGTCAACTGTCCCTGCTCTGGGGGGTAGCACGGGTTGCCCTGTTGGAGAGTGGGCCCAAAGATACAGATGTTTTAAGTCTTTAATTTTTTATATCTTAATTTTTAAAATCTGGCCTTCCTTTCGGTCCTTACTTTCCCAAATACGGTCTAACTCGGGAAATGGATGCAGAATTGTTCTTACTCTACACGTGAACTCTTACTGCCCTGAATAAGTTTGGACAATTCAGTTGGTGTGGGACCTACCAGCAACCAATTCAAGCATTTAAATCATGCTCATCATTATGGACATATTTATATAATACATATTATACATATATACATACACAATTATAGCTTCATATGTATGTACACAAACATGTATATTCACACCTATATACACACACACAAACAAACATGTATGCATATATTTATATACATGCTTACATGTTTGTGTGTGTATATAGGTGCATGCACACACATACACACAACACAGAGGAAGCTGCTGCCATCACCGCAACACAGATACTAAAGATCGCAATTATATGGATCGCCCAGGAACCCCAGGTATCTTCTGCCTCTTGCACATTCTTTTTTGTCAAATACAAACCTCCTCTCTAGACTTTTCTCCCATTATCTGACAACTAGGACCCTGGAATTGTCCCCAGGAAGGTGAACAAGGTTGAGCCATGTAGCTTCAGATTTCAAAAGTAAAAGATAAGCCGGGCACAGTGGTACACACTGGAATCCCAGCAGCTCAGGAGGCAGAGGGAGGCAGGAGGAATGCAGATTCAAAGCCAGCATCAGCAACTTTAGCAAGGTTATAAGCACCTTAATAAGACCCTGTCTCAAAATAAAAAATCAAAAGGGCTGGGGATGTGGTTCAGTGGTTAAGCATCCTTGATTCAATCCCTGATACAAAAAAAAAAAAAGTTAAAGATAGATTTCGGTGAGCTGAATGACCAATGAAAAGTGTAGCAATGATTTAGTTACTGAAACCTTCCACCCTTGTGTTGATTGTTTTAATTACTATCTGTTCTACCACTCTATTGTTTGAAGGAAAGATATTTCTTCTCTCTCTCCCTCTCCCTCTTTCCCTCCCTCTCCCTCCCTCCCTCCCTCTCCCTCTCCCTCTCTTTCACATTCTCTCATTTTCTATGACTAGTTTCCTGTGTGCAAAATCAAAATGACCACTCTCTCGTTCACATGGCTTCCATTCCTCATCTACTCTTTTGATTTTCTCCCACCGGAAATGTTCCATTTCCTCCCACCAGCTGCTTCTAAGCAATGAAAGCTACAAATACTCCTAGACAGTATCTTAATTATTTAATACCTTTGCAGTCAATTTCCCGGACCTAAGAATGCTGTCCAGGGTCCCCGAGGGCTCTAGGAGCACTCTCCTGGAAACGGAAGGTCTCTCCCACCAGCCGCAGTCCTCAGGGGGTTAAAATCCAGTGGTTCTCTCATCACCTGCGCCTGAATCTACAACTCTGGTTTATCATACTTGTCTGAGGGCCTAGTTCTTGGTTCAGAAAAGGTTTTCAGCTAGATAGTTTGCAACCCAAGAGTACATCTCTAATTCATGGTAGCTTGTTTTATGTATGGCAGCAGTATTCCTAATATCCTTCCTCTCACCTGTTTTTGTGGTGTATTTGTACGTCATTAGCAAAAATTTGTTGGAAAAAAATCTGAATGAACTTCAGACAATTCCTGAAACTATTAGATCAATCCAACAAATATTTATTATATATTTATTACATTGTACACATTTATAACTTGTGTAAGACACTGGTCTGCACAAGGGTAATAAGCAAACTCTTTATTGATTTTGTAAATAAAGTTTTATTGGAACACAGCTCTCTTATTCATTTACATGTGGTCTATGGCTGCTTTCAAACTAAAATGACAGTGAGTACTTGGAGCAGGGACCTCATACCCAACAAATCATAAAGTGTTCATGATCTGACCATGACCTGGAAATGGGGTATTTCATAGGAAGTCATCTGGAGAGTCTTACTGGCTCTCACAGCTCATCACAAATACTGGTAACTCCTAAAATCTATAGCTCTGTTTGAACCTCTCTTCAACACCCCCAAATCTCCACATGAATACTTTTTGGACACCTCCACCTGCTATCCCAACATTCTGCAGGCTTCTCAAGCTCATCTCCCCACACGAACCTCTCTTCCTACGGTGTTCCCTGTCTCATTTAAGGCATCACCACCCAGAGATCCCATGTCTCTGTCACCTAGAAGCCAACCTGGATCTCTTTAGCTCCCCATGGAACTGCTGTGAGTTCCTCCAAATACATCTCCTTCTTCCCACTGTTGCCACATCAACCTTCATTTCCTATCTGAACTACTGCACAAGTTCCCCCTTTCCACCCTGAAAGCCCCCTCTCAGCCCAAGGATGAGAATCAGCCAAGTCGAGGCACAAAAAAGCAACTCAAAATACATGATTTTTCATATAATTTTGAGAATAGCCCTTACAGCTCTAATATAACAACATCCAACACTTATATCATTTTACTCTGGTCCAGGCAGAGCTCTAGGTAATTTATCAATTTGATCCTCCTAATAAACCTATAAAGTAGGCACTCCAATGGTCTATCTTAAAGATGGGGAATGTCTGACTCGAGTCTGCGTTCTTAACCATGAGCTTGTGCTGAGCTGCCCCTGTTGACCTCAGCTTTATTTATCTTGCCAGGGTCACTAACACTGAACCCAAAGTCAGCTCAGGTGACAACCCCCTCCTTGGCTGGGCTACTCCTCAGGAGAATGTAGAGAATTCTTGCCCAGGGGACCTTACCCTGGTATACCAGGAGAGGGGCTGCCCAACACCAGGCCTCTCCCACCACTGTTCAGATGAAACTTATCATCAAAAGGATGCTCAGACACTCCAGAGCAGCACTTGTGTGGGCAGAACAGAATTACAGGATGGGGCTGAAAGAGTTAGGGCAATAACAACCCTTAGGCAGGCTTTCTCCTGCATTTGTCTAAGATGAAATCCATTACTGAGTTGCCTTTCTGCTCCCAGATCTGTCACTCTACAAGCTTTTATCATGAATAGCAATACACTTAAATATTCAGCAAGTGCCCTGCAGAACGCTAAATACTGAAAGCACACATAAAGGTCATGGTCTCAATCCCCTTCCTTTTCCCTGGAATTTACAGTTTAAGAGCCAAGACCCCTAAGCTGCACTCTTGATAAAATGTGGCCTACAAATGTAGGCAGCTCTTGCCCTGTTTTTGAAACACTCACTTTCTCCTGTCTTTATTGTGTATAATCTGAAGGAAAAGGCAAGGAAAATGACATAGTCAATTCATCTGAACTGAATATATTAAGAATTTCTTCTATACCAAGCTCTGTTCTTGGCATCGAAAGGGATAAACAAGAGTAGCAAATATTTCTTATCTTCAAGAAGTATTCTATCTGGCAGTGAGATAAAATATAACATGATACCTGAGGCTGGATAGCTTATGAAGAAATGAGGGTTCTTTTAGCTCACAGTTTTGAAAACTGAAAGTTTAAGATAGGGCAATGCCATCGGTTCAGCCCTTGGCTGCATCACAACACAGCAGATGTCATCATGGCAGGAGCACATGTAAAAGGAGGACTAGTCACAGGGTGAAACAGGAAGCCTGACACCAGGGAGGGGGTTCATCTTGCTCTTTTGTACTAACTCCTTCTACAAGACCAGAATTAATTCCTCTGAGGGTAGTGTTCCCAAGGACCTAACCACCCTCCACTAGGCCACACCTCCTTAAGGTTCCACCACCTCCTTATATCGTCACATTAGAGAGACAAGGCTTCCCACACATGATGCCCTGAGGGACAAACCACATCCAAAGCAAAGCAACTGTATTACCGCCCATAAAACACACACCCACAAGGGATGCCACAGTGAAGCTCACTTCACTGGGTCTCTAAGTTCAGTTCAGTACCATCTCATATAATTCTCACTATATATAATAATCCAGTAAAGCAGGGATTATTTGCTCCATTTTATAAATGAGAAAATTGAGGTTACTCAGAGAAGTCAAGTAACCTTCCCTTAAAGTAGAAAAGCTGGGATTAAATCCTAAATCTGAAGCCCATAGTAAAGGCATAATTGAAGTTTTTCTGTTTCGGTTTTGGTTTGGTTGGTTGTTTGGGTTTTTGCACCCCCAAAAGTGAGTAGAGATGTGAATGAGGGTCACTTGGACTAAAACGTTCTAAGCCCAGGGAAGACCATAAGGGAAATTCTGGATTCAGGGAAGTGTGGGGTGTCCCCAGGGTGGAAGAAAGGGGGACTGTGGTAGAAGTTAGTCTTGAGAGCAAGTTGGGGTCTCGACTGAGTATTGAGGAGGGTTTCACATTTGGTGTCCACTGGTTCCACAATGGTAGTTCCCCCCAAATAGATCATGCTTTAGGACATAAAAACAGCCTTTAAACCAAATCATGTACATCTCCCTCAATACTTTTCCTGTCATCTTTTCTAGCACAACAAAATCTTGAGCAATTTTGGACCCAGCAAACATAGACTTCCCAGGACAGACCGCTTGTCCTTGCCATGGCCCTTCATGCTCTGGTGATGGAGATCGCAGGGGTTCAGCAGCCCTCCAGCTAATCACTTCTCCCTCCAAGAGGAGTAGCTATTGCCTTGCATCTCTGCCTCATCAAAGGAGAACCAAATTGGCTTGTGGGCATTCTACTGGGATTGGTATGTGGCATGTTGCATTAATAGAGTGTTTGAAGTACAGCCTTCAGAAAGTATGCTTCCATTTGCCACACTTTATCATAATCAGAGACTCAGAGCATCGACCACAAGAAAGAACAGAGTCTGAAGTCTTTATTGAATGAAAGATAGATAAGCAGAGTAGGGCAGGAGAAAGGTTGTAGAAAAGACCCAATTCACGTTTTCAATAACCATGCACATTTCCACAATGTCTTAGGAGCAAGATTATGTCTTACAAGCAAGATGACTCAAGGACGTTGTGGGGAATGAGCGTGAATTGACAAGACAAACTTCCATAGTCTCTGGAGTGATGTGCAAGGGTGACCCCAAAGGTCAAAGGACTCAGATCATAAACTCATAGTGGGAAGGAACAAAAGAGATCAGCTCCTCATGTTAAAACTAGGACAGCTGAAGCTCAGGGAGTATATAGACTTAACCAAGGTCACGCAGGTGGTTGGTGATGGAACAAGACCTGAAGTATCCAGGTTTCCAGCATCTGTTTATGACCTCACGCTGACTTTTAGGAGGACATGACTATGAGCAAACATAAAGGTTTTCAGATGGCAGAAACCAAGGCACGGGTGTAAAAGGCCAGGGAAGTATTCCAGGAGGACACAGAATAAACTGAAGAGGCTTTGAAGAATAGATCCCATTTAAATAAAAGGGGAGCAGAGGACACTGCAGAAAGCAGGGGATGCCCTCCATCTGCCCAGAATGTGCCAAACCTGGCATCTCAATATCAGAACAAAGAGATAAGCAGATTCTTGTGATGAAAAATTGCTACCGCAGTAAAATTAAATCCCCCTTCCCGGAAGAAACATAAGCCCTTGTAAAGACAAGAAATCTAAACCTCTGTGTCCTCACTTAATAGTTTAAAGAAACTTACAAGATCCTTGAAAGGTTGAAGAGAGAAGCGGGGTAGAATTCACTTTTTCTCCCTGCTTAAAGGAATAGGGTTTCCTGCTAACAGCTGTAACACTCAGGAAGCACCAGAGGGTTTCATCCCTGGTAGGGCAGCAGGGCAGGGACAGTTCCCCAGAGCGTGGGAGGGGAATCCAGCTTCCCCAGAGGCTCAGCCAGTCACCAGTGGGGGAGGCACTCCAGGAAGCCTGAGACTCCCTCTCAGCTCATTGGCCCATCACCCATCTCCCCCAACTAGGATGGGATGAAGGCTCTAAAACCAAGATACCAAGACAGCCGCTCACGTTGGCCAGCATTCATGAAACAATCGCAGGCGAAAAACGTAGAACCCAGGATGGAGACGTACATAGGAGGAATTACGATTGAAAAGAAAAATGAATGCAGTTGTGTCCAGTTGTCAGGATGTTGGTTGTTTTTGTTTGTTTGGGGGTTTTGTTGTTTGTTTCCTCTTTTAAAATGATCTTCATTATAATTTTATGTGACTTAAATAATTAAAACATTTTCAACTGTGCTTGCCTTTCTCTCCAACCCACCCCCAACATACAGGGAGCTGGTAGAAGAAGCAGGCAAAGTTTTTCTCCAGCACTCATTCTCCCACTCCATTTCCCTAATCTCTTCATTTTATATCCTGCATTATCTTTCCCAGGCCTAATTCTTTAACCATTATCTCAAATTACTGATTCTCTCTCTCTTCTTCCTCCTACCACATACTCCCCCAAATATACGGAATACTGGAACTGTCCCAGTCACAGCAGTGCAGCAGCTTACCTGTTGGAGGAAGGTGCAGGCAGATGGGTGGCACCCCCAGGATATATATTCACTTACAGCTGGAAGTCTCCAAAGATGGCCACTGTCAATGCCTGCCTTCTCTGTGGATGTATGCTACTTCCTCCCCTTTTATTTTGGCCAATAAGATGCAGTGGACATGGCATTCCAGGGCTTCCAAGACTAGGTAATAAGAAGCCTTGCAGCTTGCTCTTGCCTCTCTGGGAATACTCATTTGTAGGAGACTGCTTTTGAGAACATGGCTACCATGCTGTGAGAAGCCCAAGCCAATGGGAGAGGCCAAGTGTAGGTGGTCTATTCAGTTGATAAGTGTTGATAGTCCAACAGCTGGCATCTACCTCCAGGGCATCCTGTCCATCTAGCCCAGTCAAGATGAATCCAGCCACAGCCTCCATATCACTAAAACTGCATGAGAGAGCTCAAGTGAAAGACACCCAGCTGTGCTTCCCCAGTCCACAAAACTGAGAGATAATAACCTGGCACTTGAAGACACCAAGTTTTCAGGTGGTTTGTAATGTAAGATAAAAGGAACATTTTTAAAAAGTGATATGACAATAAAACATTTTCTGTGGTCCTTGATTTGGTGAAAGATACTGGGAAGAATGGTTTTTCTTTTCAATCATTTATTTAATCATTCATTCATTTATTCATACCTCTATGGAAGGCATGGTGCCAGATGCCTTGGGGCAGAGCAAACTGGATCAGAATCAGCCCACACAAACACTATATTTCATCAAAGCCATTGATGTTACATAAAAACAGCATAACTATTTGAATTTGGATGGGCCAGGTGGGTAGGATTGAATGTACATATATTTGAGTGCAAGAGCATTCAAGAAAATGAGAATGGTATAGTCATAGCCACTAATGCAAGACAGCAGATATAGGCAGGAGAAGCATGATAAAGTTCTCCAATTTGATTAGAAAGTAAAGATCTCCACAGAGCAGTAAAGATTGCTGGGTAGGCTGGGGCCTGCCATTTACCAGCTCTCCTTGGTTACCAGTCCTCTGAGCTACACTGTCAACATATCTCCAAAGTCCAGGGATCATTGAGATACACACAGTTTGCTACAGACCAGTCACCAATTGTTCCAAGCTGCAAGTTCATTACTTTGCAAAGAGACTGGAGACCAAAGAATGCAGGAATGAAGTCTAAATGAATCTCTAAGGAATTCAAAGTGCACATCTTTCTGTGTGCAAAGTTCAACCCCCAATGCATTTAGGAACTGTAGCGAAGTCTACACTTTCACCACCCATTAATACTGATGGACTCAAGAAGGCATTAGGTGGGAGAACATGATCATAGCTCAGAGATAATGGGTGAAAATCATTCTCTAGGGAAAACTGAAGTGGGAGCTGGACACGTGTTACAGGTATTCCCCCAGTGCTTTAGCTGAGCTGAGTTCCTACCTCTGCTGGTAACTTACAGTATGAACTTGGGTAGGTCACTCTCCCTCAATGAACGTTGGTTTCTCCATATACAGAATGCCGAGATGCTCTGGAGATGTTTTAAACTCTGACACTTCATGATCCTATGAGAGGCATGTTCAGTGACATGGATCAAAGGAGTGAAGTGGGACCTGATTCTCACATGTCAGTCATCAACTTCAAAACACATCCATGACATTGATAAGTTCCAGTGATCTTAACGTTTTGCTGGTGCTGGGCAAGACTTAAGAGTAAGATCAAACCTCAGGTCACTAGATAGCTGACTTTTCCCCAGGGCACCTGGAAACCGTGGCCTCAAGTTTCTCCTTGTATATCCCATTCCTGAGGTCAAACGTCATCATTACAAGCTTAAATGTATTAACCTGTAGATTTAGCCTCTTGCAAAAAGCACTGTCAGAATTCACTAAGAAAGGGAAAATCCTCTGCATCAGACTTTCTCCTTTCCTTTCTGTGGAATATAATGTAACTTCATTTCAATTTATCATACATTTACTTCAGTGGGTTGGAAAAACAATGTTCAGCTTCTTATTAATATTTAAATAGCTCATTAAGAGCTTGTATTTTACTCTAAGAAGCCATGAAGTCCATGATAAAATGTATTACTAGCTCACTGACTACAAGTTGAGTGCTCTCGGCTTTTTAATTTGAGAAGAAAGTAGCAATTTTATTTAAGATTACATGAAACTGTAAGAATCTGGTCCTGATATCCCTGGGTTGAGTACTGAGGTACACTTTCCTATACACCAACGAGGGCTCCCCATCTTGAGGATTGAGATCCAGAAAGAAAGACAGCATTTGATAGCACCAGGATGTGGTTCCCCATGCTGCTTCAGGAATGATGCCGTCTTCACCCCTTGGGGTTGCCATTCCTCACCTGGGTCAATTGAGACAGTGCCATGAACCACCTCCCCCTCTCACTCTCTCTTGCTGGGCTGCCAGATAGAGTTCAGAGAAGAAAATGAAGGTTTCTGCTAGGACGTGCATCACTCTTCATTCTTGACTTGGAGGAAGTAGTGGTGAAATGGAATCTTAAGCAAAGCTTTCTTTGGAACATCCCCTTTGATGTTCCTCCTAATATATGCCCCAAACCATTTCCCTCCTTTGTCCTTTGAACTGGTGACAGTTTGCATAAGCAAGAGCAAGGCTTAATTTGGGAAAGACAGCTGTGATGAAGGAAAGCCTAATTCTCATTCTGAAAGTCCAAGTGCAGTATAACATAGACACCAGAAACTCAAAGTCTGGATTTGAATCTCAGCTTCATCATTATCAGTGTGATGTCAGATTACTTAACATCTCTGTTCATGGGTCCCCTCAAATGTAACATCTCTGTTCATGGATCCCCTCAAATGTAACTGTCAGGAAAGCTGGCAGTGCTTACCAGGTGGGGATCCTGGGAGGGTTGAGTGATGTCACACATCTCAGCACATGCCCTGTTTCCTACTTATTGCTATAGAGCAGGAAGGAGTTCTGTATCCACCACGATAGCCATAAATCTGAGCTGGTCTCTCATCCACTGACCTCCTAATATTAGGACAGTGGCCAGCCCAGAAGAATAACTTTTCGGGTCCTCTCCACTGGGGAATTGACATAATCAAGAGCAGCTCCTAGCCTCATTCCCATGAGTCAGGGATGCCCAACATGCCACTCTTGGGAAACCAGCACTGACCTCATGGCTGCCCTTTGGAAGTCCTGATTCACAGTCCTCCCAAACTTCTTTGCCACTGAATTTGTAGCCCCAGCACCTGCCTCCAGCAACAGGGTCAGGGTCTTTCCAGGTCACAGCTGCCTCCAATGCATACCTGCGTTGGTCTTGAGATAAGATGAAGATGTGAGGGAGGTGTGTGCCCTGTGTGCTCTCATGTCTGCAATCTCCACATTCTAAGGCACCTAGAAGCTTCTGGGACCCTAACGTTCATATCCTTTTTTCCTTCACTAAGCTTAGGCCTTCTAAAGGGAAACTCTAAGATTATAATACTATACTTACTTTTCTGCCCTTACAAAAATAACAGCACATATTTCCAGGGTTTAATGAGCTCACTGAGCTGTAAAAACACTTGAGAAGAATCAAATGTCCTTTGTAGTTGGTGTGGCCACACCACACACACACACACACTGAAATGACTCTGAAATGTACCAATGTTTGGCATCAGAAATTTCCCTTCATTTCCTTCAACTGACCTAGCAAAGATCTCTCCCTATCTAATCAAAGATGGGCCTTGATTTGCTTTCTACTTTCTGTTTCAGAACCTTTATTTTTTAGCCAAGAAAAAGAAAAGAGAAAATTACTAAAGAGCAACAAAAATAGTAAGAGTCAGAAACACACAGAGGATTGGAGTAAAGGAAGAGAATTTTATATGCACACACCCATCTTTCTTCCCCATTAAATCTATGGGTTTCACCTATCCAGCTGCATCCTGATTCTTACCTTCAATAAGCTGAATCAAATATTTGGCCATCAGAGATCTGTAAACAACTTTGCTGAGTGGACAAAAAGGAGAGTGGGCCCCACTTAGAGCTTTCCCTGATCTCCTGTCTCAGCAATTGTTAATGGGTCACATTGGGGGATGCAGAGTGATAGATGGGGACACAGAGTGACCTCCAGCAGAGTCTTTTACAAGGATCACTACTGGATTTTAGGCAGGTGAGTGATAGCCTTCTCACATTGTGGGTTCCATCAGATTCCTCCTGACTTATTGAAGGTTTTTTTCACTTTGTAGGCTCCCTCGAGGAATAAGTCCAATTGAAAAGAACAACACAATTTATTTTTAATTAGATGTGTTTCCTATAAAACCAGAACTCTTTGCTAAAATACACAAACATAAGCATTAATTTTAATTATTGTAAATGCCATGCTTCAATGGGATGCTTATTTCAAACCCATAAATGTAAATATGTAGGTATAATTAGAATCTTTGCTCACCAAGACTTAACTAGTGGCTCTTATCTTATGGATATTCCTGGACATTTTGAGAATATCTTCAAAGCTATCAATCCCTCCCTGTAAAAATGCATCCATAAACAACATTTTACCTATTTTTCGAGGGTATATATAACTCCCCCAGAATCCATCCATGGACTTCCCTTTGCACCCTACCCAGGGTCTGTGCACCCAGGGTGAGAATCTTGGGCTTGTTCTCAGTCCTTGTCCTAGCTTAAATACTATACTTCTCTCCCTCTGGATTTTTGCAACATGAGACTTTAAGCAAAATAGCTTCCCTGGTGTGAATGTTGTTTGAGACTCTGAAATGTACCAATGTTTGGCATCAGAAATTTCCCTTCATTTCCTTCAATTGACCTAGCAAAGATCTCTCCCTATCTAATCAAAGATGGGCCTTGATTTGCTTTCTACTTTCTCTGTTTCAGAACCTTTATTTTTTAGCCAAGAAAAAGAAAAGAGAAAATTACCAAAGAGCAATAAGGTCTTACTGATCTTCACAAAAAGCCTATGATTTGCTTTCTTCTGATTAAGAGGGGTTAATTTTTCCTTCTCTTTTAACCAACATACTTGAAATTTCTACATAACTTTGTAATCAATGGTGTGGAGTATGGGTACACATGCTTAATCTTTCTCATTAAATACTCCCTTGTGACTTGAACTCTGTTGCCTTCAGAATGAATCTCCGCCACCTCCATCTCCAAAAGGAACAATATACCTTTAGCAAACCAGAGAAAGGCCACTGATAACAGTACTCACTCGCAAGGTTGCCACAAGGACTAAAGGACAGGGGTGCACAAAGCACCTGGTTCAGCACCTGTCATATGGCAGCTAATAGAATACCTCTTGGGGGGGTCTGAAGATGGCAGCGAAGGGAGTGCATTACCCCCGTGTACCGCGTCACTGTGCGGGAGAATGACGAGTTAGAAAGGCTAAAAGCTATCTTGTTAGGAATTTCCAGCAAAATTGGGGTGCTCCAAAACCTAGAGGAAGGATTTCCATCGCATGAGGATCAGCTACGGGGGCTCAAACGCAAGATATTTGTCCGCACGGAGGGTCACGCTGCTTATTCAGCAAATCACCCCGGGGCTAGAGTCTGCGGTGCACGCTGGGAAACGAGGAGATAGCGACGCAGGGATACAGCGCTGCAGTTTCCGCGGGCTTCTGCCAGCTGTGCAATCACCGTACTAAGTGCTGAA